GTGTGTTTATACGCACACGAATACCATCGTATTGAAGTCGTGCCTTTTGCTTTGGCAACCAGTTGCTGATTTCCCAGTCAGTCAGATCTAACGGCCACAATGTAGTTAGGCACCAACATAATCCGATATCGAGAGAGTGTGAACGTGGAGTGCTGACGTTGTGAGGGAGTTCAGTCCAAGCAGTTCCTTAGAAAATACAATGATCCTATATATATATATATATATATATATATATATATATAAAATAGTTGTGTAACCTGGTATATTACGTCGACAGACATAAAGAGGCTAGTTACTTTCGCACATCGTTGACTTCGCAGCTTAGCTCATGTCTGGTGGGAACAGCACTTGAGCAATCAATGTGTACCGTGCCCTATATTCGGTGTAGGAACAGCGAGTGAATCCCTCAGTACTGATCATCACATCAGACTCCGATGTTACGCATGCCAGCACCGTGGTGTTTGCTTGCACGTCCAGTGTCTGAATGGAAGAGGAGGAGGGAGGCCAAGCGATGACTTGGTCAAGAGGAATAAAAAACCCTCACTTCGAAATTGGCATCAGTTGGTGCCTCCCGACTGACAGGCTGGAATCCAAAGCACCATGAACATATTTGCTTGGCTACACTTCCTTCTGTAGAGAAGAGCGGACCCCAGCGGCGTTTGTGTTGTAAGTTTCTTTGGCCAGTTCCTTCTCTTTAGATTAACTATCCAATTACGCTCCACACCAAATACATAATATGATATTTTACATTAGTTCATTTCCTTTTTGAACTATTTTGTAGCCTGTAATATTAAACATATTATCATAATTGTATTGCATCCATTCGCGGGGTGTGTTTCTCACCCTCATTTAATGAATATATACATATATATATATAGTTGTGGCCTAGAAATTGCTGAAAAACTTAAATTCCCTAGAAAAGGCAACATCTTAAGGAAAACCAAACTTACAGGCAAAACACAGTTAATTTATGGTTACGGTAACTGACATACATGTCGCGCACGTCGAAGACTATGGATGCAGACTTGCAGCAGTAATCCCACAGCAGATGTGTGGCTTTTAAGCAGACTCGAATGCTGTGTACACAAACAGCAGCAGTAAAGCCCGCGCGCGACTGGTGCTAGTCGCGCGGCAACGAAGCGCCGTTACGGCGTACAGCTGACACATTATTATTTATTTATTATTTAGCAATACAGCTGCAAAGCAGCACTACATGAACGCAGATTTTGCAGAAATGTATTCTAGTATTCTTTCGTCAATTCAAACAAACTGCGCACAAGGTATCCTGATAAAAATGAGTAGTTGAAAGAAACAATGTAAGGAATGATAACACCTGCATAACTCTTCCTGTAGAGCATGAACTGGTAAGGGAAGGCTCGATAAAGCTGTTTAAGGTACGAATTCAGCTAGCTTAGAGGTGAAAGAAACAAAGTGGCCTAGACGTATGTATTTAGAATCAATGTGTTTCGCACTTCGTATGCTCCTGCTAATCACTCATGCATTGCAATATCTTACCGATTAATAGACTTCACGCGATGGTTCATCTGTTAGTGTTAGGAAATGTTGCAACGTGTCGAATTTCCTGTAACTGCCATCCACATTTAGACATATTGATACACGTATGCATATATGCAATTATTCTGCTGTTTTCGCGTCACTAGTAACCTGTTGACTGTGACAGTGGCCAATTGATCGTTAAGTATGGAGGCACCTAATCGATGGTACCTGCACATGCTTGGACTTTATTTAGGGACAGCCTTAATGAAGTTCGTTGCCTGATGTTAATCGCTACTTGCCATTTCGTTTATTTCATGTAAACCACACTAAACACAGCAGGTAATACAAAGTAAAGTATAAATCCATACTTACTTTGTTGACACAAACCTAATAATCTCGATGGACAGTTGTAGCTATTAATCTAATGACAGTGGTGTTCTCCGGCTGACCAAATTTTGCTCAAGGTCAGATGTCCATAAACCGGAATACTGTTTCGATTAAGCCCTTACACAGGAATTAGGATGGTTACATCTTTTATCGCTATCTCCCCAGTTAAGCGTCTGGTGAACCATTAAACTCTATCGATTTTGACGCGAAGTTCCATTTGTGTATAACTGTGTTGTTGTGCATACATTTTGATCGGACTAATCTCCTTATAAGCGTTGTCCAGCAGTACTGATTCAGTAGGGATGCTTATTAGACTCCTCCCCTGAAATTTTATGATCAGTTGACTTGGCGCTAATAACGAAAATGCAGTGCTCGATTGAACTTGCTTGGTATTTGTGGAAGTGTAGGTATTCGAGGACGGAAAAATAAAGCGTAATACGCTCTATCATATATATGTATATACGTTTTAGCGTTGTGGTGAAATCGCGGGATGATATGTCTTCAAGTGAAAGCAGCAAATGGTCATCGGCCGTTTTTTGTGAGTCTTATTAATACTTAGTTTGAATAATGAGGACTTTTTCCTGAGGTTAGTTCAGACACCCATCATTTACCTTTTACCCTGTGTTTGAATTTGAACCTCTAAATGATGATCAGAGTGGGCGTTCAAAGTTTGGTGCTAAAAAACGAAGTCTAATCAAACTCGCCTAAGATTGTACAAATGAGGAAATATTTCGGAAGGTGACAAGGAGTGACTTTTGTTCTCTACTCTGTGTGATGTCAGGTTTACTGTCCGGTGGGGTTAGCCTCTTTCTGCGAACAAAGCGAATGCTAACATACTTACTCTTCCTCATAGTCACGCTCCAGCATGATATGGGTTCAGTGATGATGAGTAAAAAGTAGCGATCTTTTCCTGATGATTTTGACAACACAATCTGTTATTCAGTTGAATTCGGAGACAGTTTCGTGACACATCATCTGTCGCAATGCACTGTATGGACGAGCAAATGGGCTTAACCACTTCGTCTATAAAAATACGACGAGCTGCCCTTCGTCTCCCGTCATATATAGAAAGTGTAACAAAATTACCGGGAAACCTCCTTCAGACCTACGGGTGATCGGTAGTCGCCCTTAAAGACTTACCCATCGCTTCCCAGTAAAGGTGATTGTTTACAGGGACTTGCCTCCAGTAGTGCCATGTATAACGGTATGTCTCTCTGATCTGACCTGCTTTTTATCATGAGTCCCTTTTAATCATTTGTCCTTAACTGACTGTACACGAACTGGGATATCTGTGGGGAGTACCTACAAGGAGAATTTACTACCACGGATTTGCCACCTCATGCACTCAAGCAGAGTTTAGCGATGTTGATCGTATCGCATCAGCCATAAGTACTTTGTCTACCATTCAAATGCATCAACCCGCAGACGGCAAACATTATGTCTCTGTTTTTGAGGTGTCGCTTTTGCGTTCGGGCTTTCTTGAGACATCCTTCTATGCAAACAACCCGGTAGCCAAAGAGGTAGAGGTTTCGGTTAATATTCCAATGGTCGCGGGTTCGAGGGATGCTATTTTCACCTGAGGAGATGAAATGAGGTCGAAACGCGTCGTGGTTGCGCAGTGTTTTCTGGCGAGCAGCACTCAATTTCCATCAAGCACAGTGGAGTCTTGTAAGAAATCTGTACTATAAATCATTATCGTTTTAATGGCAGCGATGTAACTGTCATGTATGACGATTTTGCGCACATCTTTCGGTAGATTTTAGTTAGAAAAAATGTAGAGCCGTACATTCCGCACAGATGTGCATCTACATACTGTTGAAAATAAAACTTCCTCAAACTCACCATGATATGAATGCAATGCCTGAAATTGTGCTGAGACCGTATGGGATCTGTCAGGGACATGTGAATAACAGCCTCAACAGTACTTCCTTTTTATGCGTTGCAGACTGGAGAAACATTGCTGTATCCAAGGTGCCTGATCTCTGTACCTAAATCCAGTTGTGAGGACTGTATTTGCAATTAGGCAACATCAACCCTATCTACAATGCAAACGGTATTTTATTGGGCAGTTACAAAGGTTTATTTAAGTCCCTTGCATATTCTGTAAACTGGTTTACTACGCTTTACCGTTGTGAATACGTGGTACACCTGCTGTTTAGCCAAATCATTCTAGCCTTATAAGATGAAGTCAGACTAAGTCTCCATCTAAAGTAAAACCTGCATGTAGAGTAAGTGCATTATATTGGACAGAGGAACATTAGATTTGCGGCTTAAAGTTGAACACAAAACGTATTTCTGACTTTAGCTTCCATTGAATCCATAAACGGTAGACATGCGATGCATGGAAGTCTCATTGGGCCTAACCTGCATATTTTCACCGTAAACACCATTCTTGCTTGTCGTGAATAAGAAATGACATAAAATTCTCCTTTCTTGCCTCCAGCGGTATTGTGTTGTGTTTGCACTGGGAACACGCGTTCCTAGACTATGTTTGATGGTGCACTATCGCCTGCTTATCTGAAGATTACATCCCATTTCCTGTGCTGTTATACGAACCGGCAGTTTAGTATTCATTAAATGCCACGTAAACTACTTTGATTTTACTACATTATGGCCACGTACAGATACATAAGATATAGCTATCGGTCTACCGTCGTAGAGTGGCAAAACAGTGGCACCAAAATGAATTTACACTCATATTAGCTATCTGTTCAATGGCACCAGATACATGGCCGCGACTTATGTAAGTATCTCAGTATAAATGTCATTCCGTTAGCAACCTCTGTTGTATATCACTTTCGTCTAACCATACTCCACCACATATCGGCGCGTACATATTTCGAATAATCTCCACCTGTACTTCTTGCAAAGCTGATGAAAATAACCGATCTGAATGTTGATTTGCAGGGTTTCTTCCGTTTGACGTGCTTTCTGTGGATTAGATAAATCAAATTAATCATTTGAATAACCGTCTAGATCTGTTCGGTCGTTTCGCTTTATCGACTGAGAAAGTAAATAACGCTCTAACGGTTTATATTTCTTTCCAGCGTTTTTCAAATCCTAAATACATTTACCTAAATTTTCGCCTGTTTCGTCCTTTTTACTCACTTCCAAAGGTTTCCCTCGCGCGTCCCAGTTCGGAGTCGATAAAGGGTGCCAACTTGTATATATCAGGTCTACCTTCTTCGATGACTCAAAAGGAGTTGGAGGAGCTATTCAACTCATGCGGTCGTATCATCACTTCACGAATACTGTACGACAGTAACACTGGTGAGCAATGTTCGGTGTAATTGGCTCCTCAATCAATGAACCTCAATCAGTGAACCGCCAGGTTCATGATAGCATTAGTTCCTTGTTTCTATTTTGTGTTCGAACATATTGAGTCGCTCTGGCGTTTATTGGCGCTTCATATTTTAAACATACATGTATTCCACCTGCATATGTGATTTATGAGCCTATGTGGTAACTGTCTATAGTTAATGATAAGATGATATGAAACGGATTTCACTACCTGTGGGTAGTGGACAGCTTCAGGCAAGCTATCGGCCGTTTGCAACGTCCATCGAATTACCGATACTCCAATCCAGTTACCTCATTCAGAGCTGATCAAAAGGGTCATCGGTAAAATCGACACGAAATATAGATACTACGCTTGCTGTGTTGCTTTACCGCGTCACATTTCACTGTACTCCTTGGAACTTTTGCAACGCTGTCTATCCATCAGACAACAACAATTTAATTATCTATTTATGGCGATGACCAGTTACAGATATTGATGCTTAACCTTGATGCATAACGTTTGCTTGGTTCTGTTAGATTTAGCCTTCGCCTTAGGATTGTGATCTATCCAATATCTTAAGTGCATCTGCTATCGACATTCCTCCGATGCTGAAATGGATGAGTGGAAATAAGATCCCGCCCGAGCAAAAATAGGACAACCATACGCGCTTGTCCTATCGGAGATACACGTTTTCATCTGTAGTCAGTGGTCCATATCTCCGACTCCGACGCTTCGCATTGTGCCGCTCCGCAACGTAATAATGCACTGACAATGTCACGTGGAGTGGTGATGACACGCTTGCAGCAAAACTGGCGAGCTCAGCACACACTTCGACCACCAAATGAACAACCTGAGCTACCAAAATGTTCTTCTATATCACGTAGTTAGCTCTATTAATGAATGGTGAGCATTAAGAAAACAATTTGGGGTGCCGACCTTGCGGATCAGCCTCCAGGGTCCGCAGCACTCATGAATGTGAATATGGTGCTGCGGGTGAGACAACACGGATAAGCTATGGTGCCTCAGTGGGTGCAGGAAAAGCCACCATAACAGTTAAAACTGGTGATGATTCGAAGCCGGCCATCGTACTTCTCATACACTCGTTGAAAACACCAATTGGCCAAGCGTTCGAAGGTCTCTCGCTGTGAGATAAGTTTTCGAAACATGACAACCGTATTAAATGTTAGATGCTGTCTACCCACTTGATAAATGAAGTATTGTAGTTAGAGGTAGTTAGACGGTGCTCCTCTAACGTTAAATTATTGTTGTTGGTTTGGCATCCTACACGATCATCACGGATCGTGAAAATGAGCTCGTCAAGGAAAAAACGCTGGTTCACAACCCACCTACTGATTGGGGTCCTTGCACGCACACACTCGCATCACTTGGGTCACCACCTTAGAATGAAGAACAAACCCACCATCAAATCTATTTAACTGGACCAGTCTATGAGATGCATTTGCTCTCAAGGCAGAGAGGGGCACCTTGGGTACCTTCCTGTCCACGAAGTTTACACATAATACTAATAACACGTGTATCCCTCTCATATGCGTGAGACCGTTCGTGTAATAAGGTCAGTTCATTAGTACAATTGTCATCATATCCTGGCGTAAGTGAAGTGAGTGTACATTGGTGCATGTATTGTTGAAACATTTTATGCTACACGGTTTATTTAGTGCTAGGATTTGTGTAATCATTTTTCTCATTGGTTCCATATGTTGTGGTCTATCCTGAATGAACTCATTTAGTTCTTTTCTTGATGAGAATACTGTGATTATGGTTTTCCCATCTACGACACTACCAAGTTTAAAGCGGAATATTCTTGCTTTCGCACACGACCTATTAACGGCTGGTAGACTATTCCGAGGACAGCGTGTCTAGTGCAAAATTAGTAGGAGTGAATAGCAGTTCTGGTTATTTTGCACAACTCTTGTTGCGATTCCTCCGACTGCAATCATATTCTAATGTGAACAGATTAGACCACTGGAGCATTAAGTATTGTTTCAGCCATCTTGACCGGAGCAACTGTAATCGAAGCTGCCGCAATGCTTTTGCTAACTCAGGGTGGACGCTTTACTGATGGCTCCTACTCTCACACGATTCGTTTCAAACTGAATACACGCATGATACGTATTGCAGTCATTAGTGGTAGTCGTCGGATTATCGTTACGTCAATAAAAAGCCAGAGATGAGAGCAATTTTTGAGCACACTCTCATCGCAGGGTTTGTTGAAACTCTTTTGGGGAAACAATTTGTTCGAAGACGTTGATGTTTTGCGTAGAGACACAGTTGTCACACCGATGGTGAAATCGGCGGGTTGGTTAAACCACCCTAACGGATGACTTGGCCTTACGGTTCAGGTATAACGCGGCATCTGTTCACCAAACTGCATTTAAACGGCAAACTGCTACTGTTGCCTTGTTGATTGTTCAACTGCCGACGGTCTAAATTTTAACAAATTTATCCAGACTTTTTCTCAGCGCAGAGTAAGCATCAAGGTTCTAATACTTCAGCAGTGCCTTGTTTGTCGAAGCACTACAGTTGAGTTTGAATTCATAATTTACATCATTAAATAGATAAGCATTAAAAGCTGTCTATGACATAGGTTTAAAGTCGTAAAAATGCTTGGAATGTAGGTGCTTAGTAATTACTCAATCCATCAAGAGCGAAACAAATAAAATGCCGCCACTTTTTGTATTTTTCACGCATTATTTCCTCATTTCTGTCAGTTTAGTAGGTGCAGTTTGATCTGAACTCAAGGCATGAGTCCGCATATATGTTACATTGAACCCGATTACGTGCCATATTCTCAGAGGTTTCCAACCAGCCGTATTCTTCATCCTTCGTTCTAAACCTGAAAGAAGCACGAGAACGACGATAGCCAAACTGGAAAATCAGAGCTTTAACATTTTATTAACTTGTGGCAGCTTAACCACTGTGCGGTCCATTGCAAGCGAATAGACGGTGAAGTGGTACTCGTTCGTACTGTCCGAATCCAACTCAATTAGGGCAGCATTACTGGCCTGTTGAGTAGAAGGCCCGTAACACCTAAGTCCCGACGGCTAACATGCTTGTCGCAAACGGGCTCTTCTCACCACACGCGAGTTATCCACCGCAAACTAAATCTGATGCAAATCATCCACATGAATTGTTTAGCACTTACTACCGAACAACAGCAACGTGGAAACACAGGCAACGTACAACGCTGGGCATTGCCGTCAGTGAAATGTCACGATGACATCACAAGAGCCTTAGATTGGCGAACGCTGATCAAACATAAGAAATACGAGGAGAAATCTCCCTTCTGTGGTGTTGTCAGTAGAACCGCCTCCCATGTGTACTAGCTGTCCGCTGGTTCAAACTACGTACATTCAAGTATGAGTACTGGATCATGACTTGGCATTTCCAAGGGCAGAGCTCATGTCGTAGTTAGTTGGCTTAACAACTATTTGGCTTAGGATAAGGTAAAAAAATTTGTAGTTTGGCACCGAGGAAAAACATCACCAGCAAGTTTTACGTTAGTAGCGCGATTAGCTGGGAGTTCTATGCCCGAACCCTGTAGGCCTGCTTGAGGGCTCACTAGGACATCTTCACTAGTATGCCTAAAGAGAAAAGGGACATTGGGTATTCAAATCTCAAACCTTTAGCGACGGCAGAAGGTGAAGTGTTTGCACTAAGCCTACAAGCTGCTGGTGACTTTGGAGTATAATGGTCAAGGGATGGAAGTATATATTTGTCTACCCCATTCCCCTGCGAGGTACGCCAAAAAACAGGCTGATCAACAGGATCGAACGCAGACAGGATATCCGGAACGGCAAAAGTGTAGATCTGTGGTAAACATGAAGCTATTCAAGGAATTGGCGGGAAGCAAACAGGTGAGCTTTACATCATCAATCGGGGCGGAAACCAGCTTGTTCTCTACGGGTGTGTAGTTCTGGAATCGGGATTACTCTGCGGAGTGAGATGGATGTTAATAATTTGGTAGCGACGACTATTGAACTGCCTCCTCTGTGGTCGGCGCGTAGGACACAAATATCCTTCTTGAAGATCCGGGAAGATAATCGAGCTGTCCCAGAAGAATGAGGCTTATTCCTCTCGCGATCAACCCCAGTCATTGTCAGGTTGATTTACATGACCAAGGATTTCCACAGAGCATCAGTTCGCCGCGTGTGAATGCTTAAGACTGAATGAATTCCACTGGTGTATTGGTTTAATATCTGTGAAGGAATCTGCGGCAGTCGCTGTGCTAATATTGGATACAAAGCTCGTCCGACTTGTGAACGTGAAAAGTGATTTGTTGCGAAGAACGCTACGGTAAACGGTTCTGTGTAATCCGTTAGTAACAAACATGCCGTAGATTTCCTGTGTATGGACCTCGACACAATATGTACGTGATCCAAACTCTGTCGCCCTTTAAGCTGGTGCCACACGGGCACTCCAAATTTGCCCACAACTTCCACAGAGAATATGGAAATCTTATCTTCACCAAATCCACGAGGTAGTGTAATTCATATGGCTGATGTTGCATTCTTCATGCTTTTTCACCGCAGTTGGGCTAAACCAACTTACACTTAAACTAGGGCTTTTTAAGCTGGATACATTTCATTCCACTTTATTTGGTTTGTTCTGCCTACCTGAATAATGTTCTATTAACTGGCCACGTTGCTTACGCTAATTGCACTTATCTTCGGTAATTATGTTGCGTTTATAGCATTTTTAAGTAACTTGTGGACATTTCTTACTTATCGCGGATTCGTTGCTAACCAACTTACTTCATACGCTAATTTAGCGAAGAGTTATGCCACCATATCTGTATGCATTATTGGATTTATTTTATTTCAGCTTGTCGTTGCAAGTGAATGGCTGTTGCTTGATATCCCCGATGTGGCTGCGCTTGATGTGCATGTTGACAAGGTGCCTACCTGTCTATTACCCACTACCTCCTTCATACTGGCTCCAGGAGACAGTTGGTCGTTGCTGGAGGGGACGG